TTTGTCCATGATGATAAAATTATCATTTTCGCCCACCCAAACACACAATACTGATTCGGCCATGAATTTTTTTTTTTTTTTTTGCTTTTTTGAACTAACAAATCTTTGTTTGTTTGTTCTCTTTTCATTTGTTTTTCAAAATTTAAGTTTTTTTTTGTTTGAAAAAAATTTTCTTCATTTCATTTTCCAAACGTTATTTTTTTCTAATAGATCAGGATTCAGTCTTTTTTACGAAATTAATCAGGCAAACTAAATCGACCACATTGTTATTCGATTATCTAGTTGTGTTTTATTTACATTCAATTTTTTTTCTGGCATTTTTGAAATGTTTATTTCGAAATGTTATTATTCAGTTTAACAGAAATTGATCACACACAGTAGTAGAACAAGAAAATTGTTCATTACATTCCATAAAAAAAATGAATGAATGATGATGATGATGATGAAAAAGGTAATCGAAAAAAAACATATATACCATATGATAATGGAATGTTTGGAACAAGTGTGATCCAGGAGAGAATGAATGAATGACAGCCAATTAAAATGGGAAAAAAAATAAAGAAAGATTTCTTTCTTATTTGACTTTAAACTACGAGAGAAAAAAATGAATGGCTATAAAGAGTTGAATACAAAAAAGAGAGTGAAAGCATCCAACAACAACAAAATGAACAAGAGTTTGGCAAACAAATTTGACCATTATATATTGAATGATTAGTATTTGACCGATCATGAAACCGATGATATTTCACAATATTTCACACATATCAAAAATTTTTTTTTGGAAAGAATCAGTGATTTAAAAGTAATCAAAAAATGTAACATATTTTGTGTTTGTTTGTTCGACAATTATATGATTTGATGTAATGTGTTGATAGAAGAATGTCATCAAAGATGAAGTTAATGATGTTACATGATGATGTTACAAATAATCAATGATCAAATGGTGGAAAACAAAAATTCATATCTTAAACATGGTAACAGGAAAAGAAGTTTAAATTATCTTCTTCAATCAATCAATCAATCAATCAATGATTATCATCAACAAAAACAAGAACAACAGAAACAAAAACAAAAAAAGACAGGAAATGGTATCATTTCTTGTTGTTCTTTTGTTTTCTCATAAATATGTCATATGATTTTTTTCGTTTGTTTGTTTGTTTGTTTGAAATTGAAAACTTACCCAGAAACAGTTTGTTTAGTCGTTGTTGTTGTTGTTGTTGCTGATACAATTGGTGTGGGTGTTGATGGTATTGTAGGCGTTGATTGTTGTAATTGTGATTGTACCGGTAGTGACGATTGTTGTTGTTGTTGTTGTTGTTGTGCATACATTTTGGACATTTGATGTGAATGATGATGATGATGATAATTTGGATGTTGTTGTTGTTGTTGTTGTAATTGATGATGATTACCATTATTTGATGATAATCCACACATTGTTGATGCTGTTGTAGTTGGATCACTATAATTATTATTATTCATTGAATAATTATTGTTCATCATTAAACCATTATTATTATTATTATTATTATTATTGCCAACACTATTATAACCGGAATTTATCATGGCACCATTGTGTTGATTCGTAATCGATGATGATGATAATTTTTGTTGTTGTTGTGGCCAATGGCCATTATTATTATTTGCGGTTACACCACCACCATATGGAATTCCATTTGTTGAATGTGGAATTACTGTTGTTGTGTTTGAAAGTGGATTATTACCGAGACCATTACTACCACCACCACCACCACCCATCATTGATGGTAATGAACCACCAATCATTTGTGATTGTACCGATGATGATGATGATTGTTGTTGTTGAATAGTACCGGTAATTTGACCGGTATTTGTTTGCATCGAACCAGCATGTTGATGTTGAAATTGCCAACCCATTGTTGTCGACATTTCTGTATTATTATTATTATTATTATTTGGATTATTTTTATCGATTTCAATCGATTTATTTAAAATTTTATTGTTTATAATTTTTTGTCCACTTTTTTGTCGTCTTCGTTGTTGTTTTTGACGTTTATTTTTTAATAAAAATCCATTATTCAGATTATTATTAAATTGATGATGATCATAATGATCAGGAATATTTGTCGATAATGTATTTAACACAAGCATCAGGTTATTCTTTCATTTGTTTATATGAAAAATAATGATGATGAGGATGATGAAAAGTGAAAAAAAATGGTGATGATAATTTGAAGACTAGATTTTTTTTGCAAATAAAAATAACAACAGGCCACAGATTTGTTGAAAGAATTTTCAATCAATCAATCAGAAAAAACATGATGATTCGTTGAATAAATTATAGATCTGACATGAAATTATTGAATTATTTATCGATTGGTCGAATTTCGAATCAAAAATCAAATCAAAAAAACAATGAAAAAATTCAAAATAAAATTCGCGCGAAATTCTTTTAAAGGTCGTCGTCGTCACTATCACTATTTTGATTCAATCATTCAAAATGAATTAAACACGCACACAGAGAGAATATTGGAAAAAATTTACTTTTTTAAATCATTCCCTCCGAAAAAATGATCAATAAATTAGTTAAGAGAGAGAAAAAAATATTCAATCAAACAAAACGAATCGACCACCAAAAAAATAATAAACCAACTAAAAAATTCACGAATCTTTCAATCCAATAACGACGATGATGTTGACAGTAGCGATTTGATCGCACAAATGTGAATGAAAAAAGAGTCAGCAATAAGTTTTTACTGTGTTTTGCAACAAAACAAAAAAAAAAGTGTGTATGGTGTTTTGTTCAGAGACTGACTGTTTTTTTTTTGTTCAGTGTGTGTGTGTGAATCCTTGTGTGTGAATATTGAATGAAAATTGCTAATGTTGTTGTTGTTGTTTTCGTTGTTGTTGTTGTTGTATCCAAACATACACACACAGATAGACATAGACATGGACCACAGACTACAACTGTGTATTTTTATGAAGCCAAAAACCAATCACATTGGATACATACATAGGCCAATATACAATACATTTTTTTTTCTTCTTCTTTTGACTACACACACTATTCCAATCACATAAATGAGGATGCTAGCAGTTTCTATTTTTTTCATTTTTTCATTCATTCATTCAGAGGATATCCATTCATTTGTTTGTTTGTTTGGTTAGTGCTCCGTTTTTTTTTTTTTTTGATTATTTGTTTCAACAGACGACATTGATCCAATAGAGTCATTTTTTTTCTCCTCTTACATATCCTTTAACCACTACTACGATAAATAGTAAACTACTACTACTACTATTATCCAAATTGGTGTTGTCCCTAAAATGTCTTCTGTTCATCAAAATATTTTAGCAAGGATTTTTTTTTGTTCAGTGAATATATACGATGATGAACCGAATAAAAAAAATTTCGAAATGCGAATGAATGAATGAATGAAAGAAAGAAAGAACTAAACATTTCGACAATTGTCGATGAAATTCTTTTTTCCCCCCATCAAAAAAAAAAAACATTTTTTCCTCCCTAATTTACCATTACCATTATTATCATCATCCAAAATATACTATCTTGTTTTATATACGCGCGTAAAGTTATTGCTGAAACAGAAGTTTATTTTTTTTTCAAAATAAACGATGATGATGATGATGATGATAGTCGACGAAGAAGAAGAAGAAGCGGCAAACTTTGCTGTATTTTTGCTGTATGGATCACAATTTGACTGATATCTTTCTCTCTTTAGAATTCTGTAGCATTAATATGTCTCTCTTTTTTCTTTCATAAGCTATATTTTTTTTTTGGCTTGTTTTTCATCGTTTAGCCTTTGTCGATTTTGGTTTTGGTTTTTTTGGTTTCCCCTTTTTTTTTCTTTAAAGGTTTTTTGTTTTGTTTTGTTTGGTGGTTCACACAATTGAATTGTATATTTTTTTTTTTGGTTGTGAGAAGATTGAATGGATTTTGGTGTGGATAGCTCAATGGATGTGTGTGTGTGTGTGTTATGGTATCCCCTTTTAATGTGGCTTCTGCTGCTGGTTGATATTTCTTTTTTTTTCATCTTTTCTCATATTGCTATCTTGGCTTTTTTTTTTATTTCGCACTGAATTTTCTCTTTATACATTTGAATCAATGAATGAATGAATGTGTGTGTGTGTGTGTGGCCAGGGTATTTTCTTTTATTTCATCATCATCATCAAATAATTCGTTTTGTTGTTCACTCCTGTTATCCTGTCTTGTCTTTAATAAAATATATTTTTTTCTCAACAACAACAACAACAGAAAAAAGTTCGAGCACTTTTGGTTTGGTTTATACTCTCTTCCTGTTTTTTATTTTATTTTATTTAGTCGTTTTGCAGTTAGTTGATATTTGAATTCGTTATTCTTTTTCGTTTTGTTGGAAAAACAATAACAAAATTCTTTATAAAAGGTGTATGCGCTCGTGTATCTCACATAAGATTCTTTTCTACCACTTTTTTGTCTTAAGAATATTCTTTTTTCTTTAGTTAAAATTAATAAATTGACATTATAATTTAGTCATGTTTTGTATTGTTGTTTAAATAAGTTATTGTAGTATTTTTTTTGGTTACATTTTATTAAATTGTCATAGTTGTTTTTTTTTGTTTTTTGTTAAAAACAGAATAATTTTACAAGAATATTCTTACTATTACTATTATTATTACTATTACTATTACTACTACTATTTTTACTACTACTATTACGTTGATCAATAAATTATGGTAGGTGTGTGTGTGTGTGCGTGTGTTCATGTGTTATATAATATGGATCTTTGCACACCCACCTCTGGTTTTATATAAAAAAAAACACCCCATATCTATCAATGAATCCAATCTAGTTTTCTATAGTACGGATCCAATTACATAACAACACATATATAACTGAACATATTTTTTTTCTATGTTTAAAAGGCGGGATTCTCATATTATTATTTTTTTCTTTTTCCTTCACGGTGGTAATGTGTAACCAAAAAAAGCCTATGGTCTAGTACCAGACTACCACCCCCACTATATCACCACCGTAACACCTAAATAATCATCAACATCAACATCATATATATTTTGACAGCAGCTAGGTTACGCTGTGATTCTATTTCAATTCTGTTCCTTGTTTTTTTTTTCCTTTTCTTTTTGCTAATGTCAAATGTACATTCCATTCATTGAATATTTTATTATCATTTTTTTTTGGGGGGGGGGAAATTCAATTGTGAATATCATTTGAAAAAGAAGATGAAAGAAAAAATTCATTTTGATTGTAAATTCTGCTTGAAATTCCAAATAACAAAAATAACACCCAAATAACACCCACCAACCCACCTACATATTGATTTAAAAAGAAACTCAAACAGAATTTTATTCTATGGTCATTTAATGATCATTTTGTTTTTGTTTTTTTGTTTTTCATTTGATCCGTATGGTGTTGATCAACGACAATCAACCGATGATGATCATCAAACAAATAGCAACAACAGAAATAATAATAAAAAAACAAAATCATTATAAACTTTCACAATATAATATGGCTCCTATAGCTCTCTATTACTCTATATGTTGTTGTATTTTTTTTTCTTGAAGAATATGACAGCTGTCCATTGCCATTTAACCCAGTTTGAGGATCATTCACAGTAAGTAAAGCTGGCAGCAAACCGGATCAAAATGAAACAAAAAAAAATAATAATAATGCAATGGAGATTCAACAAACAACGCAGACACACAAAACAAAATAAAGCAAAACATTGAAGAAGAAGATGATGATGGAAAAAAAAGAGTGATAGGATACAAAGTGAATGAATCCAATGAATGAATGAATGAATTGAATGAATTGAGACGAAGAAAAAGATGGCAAAATTCGAGTTTTGTCCATGTCAATTTTATATGTTGTTCTATAGTCAGTGTGTGTGTGTGTCTGTGTGTAGGATGACGCCAAAGCCAAAAAGGAACTATTTGGATGATAATAGTGGTAATGGTGGCGGTGGCGGTGGTGATGATGGCTGATTTACTTTACTTTACCCACATAATCATATTGTATGGAGGTTTTTTTTATCATTTTTTTTCAAATGAAACAAAAAAAAAGAAATGCCAGGCTTTTCTCTCTTGCATTCTTTCTTTCTCTATTTCATTCTCCTTTTTTTTCATTATTGTCGTCATCATCATCATCATCAACATCATCGATGATGATGACTCTCGGGTCGCCTTTATCATCATTTGTCTTCGGTCTTTTTTTTTTGTTGTCTAATATTTTTGGCCATCCATCCAATATCCACATCTTTTCTCTTTCTCTATCTATCTATCAATATTTCGACACTGTTTTTCTTTTTCTTTTTTTTTGCTAGTTTAATAATCAACTTTTTTTTTGTTAATGTTAGGTTCAATTTAGTTCAATTCAGTTCATTTTTTTTTCTTCTGTTTATTTGTTTATTTATGTTGATAAAAATATTCATAAAAAAGCAAGAGAACAAGAGAGAGAGAAAAAGAGTTATAGTTAGTTAGTTAGTTGATTTCAAAATTTCTTGTCCGGCTAATTTACATATTTTAAAAAGATGATCTATTTTGAATGGATAGGAATGGATACCTTTGTTGTTGTTGTTGATGATGATGATGATGATGGAACAATTCAATAAACTAAATGATTGTTTTATGAAACAGAAAAAGGAAATCAATCAATAAAAATTCAATTAATTCAATTGATCTAATCAAATTGAATTTGAATTGGAAAGAGATTTTGTTTTTATATGGATAAGAATATCAATTTTTTTCTGTTGTTATTGTTGATTGGTTGGTTGGTTGATACCATTATGTTAACCCCCCATTGTATATATTCATCAGCCGGTCAACGTTCCATGTGTCAGGCAATAATAATCCCCAAAACACTATTAAACCACTAAAAACTAAAAAAACTGAAAATATAAACACGTGCATCATGTATAAATCTATTTATCCATATGATATTTATACAGAATATACAATATGTATGATTAGTAAGAGTGGGTAAAGTCATTTCACTAGTTTTCACAGTAAACGAAAATTCATCTGGTTCTTTTTTTTTGTTGGTACATCCCTATACCAAAATTATTATTATTATTATTATTATTATTATTATTTTATCGTTGTTATCGATGGCTATTTACAATGCATCTGTCATTTGTGAAAATTGGTTTTTATTTTTTTT